AGAAAGCCATTATTTTTACTGTTGCCTTTGTTACATTTGTGTTGCATTTGTTCTGATAAATAAATAAAGGGAGACTAGTATAGATCTATTTCAAGCTTTTTAGTTCTTTAGGTATGGCTAGCTGATGAGAGCTAAATAGCTTGAAATAGATTTATACTAGTCTCCCTTTATTTATTTATCAGCACAAATGCAACACACACACACATCACACACAATGATATTTTCAGCAAGAATGAATTAGGTTTTTTTTCACTGTTTAAGTATATTGTAAATAATTTATATTTTCAGGCAACCTTTCTGGGCCCCAAAATTTGTTAATGAAGCAATGATTTCATTCTGAGCGAAGGAATGCTTTCACATTCTTACTTATTTAGAGGCAAACACATAATATTTATCGTGTTTCCCATACACCCTCAGCTAATATGCACATGTATCTTGCAGATTTTATATGAAATATGTGTAGATTAAAATAATTTGGTGTATGTTCCAAGCAGAAAAGAAGAAGCCCTTAAAACAATGTTTCCCAATCTTGACCACTTTAAGACAACTTTAAGAAATGTAGAATTATTCTGGGAGTTGAAGTTCACACACCTTTAAGTTGCTACGGTTGAGAAATACTGATTTAAAAGATTGTTAAATTCTTCCCAACTTTTTTTTTGAAAAATGTTTTATATATCATTCTTTTATATTCTGTTTTGTTTAGGTCAGTGGAACAATGTATAATACTGGGAGGCATGTTTCTCTACGCCTGGATAAAGAACATCTGGTGAATATCTCCGGAGGGCCCATGACATACAGTCACCGACTAGAAGAAATAAGGTTACATTTTGGCAGTGAAGACAGCCAGGGATCAGAACATCTGTTGAATGGACAAGCTTTTTCTGGGGAGGTATGTCAATGCATTGAAAGTTCTGAGGGGAGAAGTTAAACTGTGAGAGGGAACATGTTTATATCATTGCTTTCAGAAGTGGTTTGCAATCCAGCAATCCAGCACTTAAGTCTGCAATTCGAAAACCAACATTCTGCAGCTGGACTACACCAAGCGTACCTGAGTTTATTTGCTTAATCCGTGTAATTTATTTTGCATAAAATTTGTTTATATTTAGGGGAACAAATTTGCATTACTGGCAGGGATGATCTGTTTTGAACTATCTGAAACAACAATACAGAGATTGAATAGTAGCTTTGCCGAAATATAGCAGTTGTTTTCAAAGTGAGATCCACTAACCGGAATATTTCCTGGAAACTTATGAAAAGTTGTTCAGTAAAAAAATAAGTAATGGTGGTTTGGCAGGGAAGCTTTTAAGACCCCCTTTTTCTTCCACTACTAATATGTCCTTTCAAATAAAGTAAAATACTTACAGTACATTTGGTATTTGGTATTTATTCGATTTGTAAGCCGCCCTATTCCCCGAAGGGACTCAGGGCGGCTGAACAAAAACCAGGGGAAGGGGAAAA